TAAACTCATTCCATACAACTAAACACGGATCACCATTAGCACAATAGCGTCAGTTTCAGCCAACGGTTTCTTTGTAATCAAGCGTTTCATAGGCAATTTGCACATGAATGATAGCGCACTTGCCAACTATCACCCAGCTTCCTAGAATAATAATAAAAGCATTCCAGAAGTGAATCAAATATAAAATAACAATTGGTTGGAGAGAAGATTCAAGCACAACAGCAGGGGATAAGCAAAAGAGCTTTAAAAAAGTAACTTCAGAAAACCTGATTAATTTTGCTGAATCACGACTGAGAAGTTATTCCTCCAATGTCTGCTCCGATTTGGATGGAGTAAATTACACCCAGGCAAGTGTTCAACGGGTCGAGCAACCCGGTCTAGTCAAATCACGACGCGTGCCTGCTAAAACCTTCACAACTGATTTAAGAATACACTACTTGTCAAAGTTGACCAAATATTGAAAAATACGCACCTAAATCATTGCCTAAGTGACGGCCAAGTCACCAAAAATGCAACTGCATAGGCAGTTCAAAATAAGTGAGAGGGAGTCAAATTGGTCAGCAAATGGATGAGATGTGATTAGCTCTGTCATCTACACCATAGTCATACGCGCGTTGATCCAAGTGGTAAGCGAAAGTTCGGCACAATTTTGTCAGCTTATGAATGAGATGAGACTAGCTGAGTCTCCTATGCCAAAGTCTGTCCTGTGTTTGCCAATTTGTGTACAAAACATCGCCTCAATTTGGTCAGAAATTCGATGTGGTTAGTTTTGCTCAGTCATTTATGCCCACGTCATTGCCGTGTTTAAGCAGATTGGTCCTGACACGGTTGGAAGAAGGGCAAACGCTTTGTTATTTTTGACCTCAGCCATGAATGCAGATGCAGAGCACTGACTTTCGACTCGTTCTTGGTGATATTGTCGGTTCGTATGTGGGCGTGTACATGTAGATGTGGAAGTGACTGTGTCTGTGGAGGTGGGTCTGTCTATGAGGACGCTGGTTGCTTCCTGGCCAGAGTCTTTATAACACCAACAATTGTTGGCTTCATGCGAGAGGGAACCACTTGAATGTGGATTTTACGCATAAACTGGAGCACAGGAATGGGCGTGGTGACAACAGCGTTCGTTTCGTGCTGCTGCTGTGAAGTGACGGCATTGCTGTTGCCGTGAGCCTCGATGCCTTTGAGAACCTGGCAAAATAGCTGAAAGTCTTAACTTACATATCACACTGCTTTTACTTAAAGCCGTGTATTGTTGCATCGTATTCACCCGACGCATGAGGGTTGACCCTATTCACACATCCATTACTTTTGACAGCACAGTTAATGCCGCTTGCACGGCGATTCTTGAGACCACTTTTCTCTTCTTCATTGTAACGCAATACTCTTTCAAACTGTCTATATCCACTGAATACGGAATCGGTGATGCGGCAAAATGAGGGAGGTATGGTAAGGCAACTTCAGAGCAACAATCGTAGTGGTCGGGGCAGACGGGAGTGTTAGACGCAATTCTTGGTATCGTCCAGTTCTTGGATGCACCCTCCTGATTGTCGAAGAAAAGAGGCAATTTCACAGTGGCGCCTGTAACATAAGTGGGTAGAAGCTCCACCTGCCCAATTGACTTTGGCACGCAATCGCCATGATGGGGTGGCCACTTCGACATGCAAACATACATAATCCATTTCTTTACTGCAAAATTTATCCTGCAACTTTTACGAGAATTGTGGGTAAAATGCATCACAATTCAGTTGAAGTAAATTACAGACGTGTGGTTATGTTTGAATGAGATTTACACAGTTTACAAATGCCTCAACAGCTTCCACTATAGAGATAATTCACTGAAATATAAATAAAATTTACACTCATCAAGATTTGTATACTACATTTGAGATTTGAAGATAGGTGAAACCTATTTGCATGGCAATAAGTTAATGCGCTTTGTTATTTCCCAAACACTTTTACTTCCGATGCCTACAATGGACATTATTTTCTGCCTTATAGTAAACTCCAATTCTGTCCCGTCTGCCACAATACTATTAAGTCAGGCGGCTGATGTGGTTTTGAAATTATGAGCACAAATTCGGGTAGAGGAATAGGATATAGCACCTCATTATTTTCTTTATTTTCCTCTTTATGTTAAAAAGACGATTGCCCCCAAAGCTATGGTTAAATATTATTCTCATTACTTGAGGGCACACAACTCCACTTTCAGAGGCCAAATTGATCACACAGTTAAACAACGAAAAGGTGATAAAAGGAAGGGCATAAATTTTGAACATTCTACTGGATTCATTAGGCTCAATTTTGTAAAATTGCTAAGGACTTCTATATACATCTTCACGGTTAGCTAAAAGCATAGATGTGACTGCCGACTCTTTCGCCAA